CCTGCCCGCATCAGAGCGCCGCCAACCTGGCGCCCAGGGCATGGCCACGTTTTGTGGACGTCATGGCACTCTGACACTCCTATCATTGAATGAAAGATGTGTTTAAAATGTTTAAGTTATGTTCTAAACATGTTTAAAAACCTGTTTCGTCCCAACCGTCCTGTGGTGTTGGGTCCTCGTTTTGACAAGACAGCGCCCTGTGCCCTTCCTCCCGCTACCCCCCCTCCCTCCTCCCCCTCTTTGCCTCTGCCCTCCGCATGTCTCTGTTGCGGCACACCCCTCACGCGTTTCGTGACCCCATAGGGAGCTCCACCTAAGGTCCCAGTGGCGGAACTCGCATGGCAGCCCCGCCCCATGTTGGCACACCCCTCACACGCTTCGTGGCCCCATCGGGAGCTCCACCTAAGGTCCCAGTAGCGGAACTCGCATGACATCCCCGCCCCATTTTGGCACACCCCTCACACGCTTCGTGGCCCCATCGGGAGCTCCACCCAAGGTCCCAGTGGCGGAACTCGCATGGCATCCCCGCCCCATGTTGGCACACCCCTCACACGCTTCGTGGCCCCATCGGGAGCTCCACCTAAGGTCCCAGTAGCGGAACTCGCATGACATCCCCGCCCCATTTTGGCACACCCCTCACACGCTTCGTGGCCCCATCGGGAGCTCCACCCAAGGTCCCAGTGGCGGAACTCGCATGGCATCCCCGCCCCATTTTGGCACACCCCTCACACGCTTCGTGGCCCCATACGGAGCTCCACCTAAGGTCCCAGTGGCGGAACTCGCATGGCATCCCCGCCCCATGTTGGCACACCCCTCGCACGCTTCGTGGCCCCATCGGGAGCTCCACCTAAGGTCCCAGTGGCGGAACTCGCATGGCATCCCCGCCCCATTTTGACACACCCCTCACACGCTTCGTGGCCGCATAGGGAGCTCCACCTAAGGCCCCAGTGGCGGAACTCGCATGGCGGCCTCGCCCCAGGAACACCCCTCGCACGTTTCGTGTCCCCATTCGGAGGTCCACCTTCGGTCCCAGTGGCGGAACTCGCATGGCGGCGCCGCCCCATTTTGGCACACCCCTCACACGCTTCGTGGCCCCATCGGGAGCTCCACCTAAGGTCCCAGTGGCAGGGATCGCATGGCGGCCCCACCCAACTTTGGCATACCCCTCCCTCGGCTCGTAGTCTCATAGCGAGCTCCACCGAAGGCCCCAGTGGCAGGGTTCGCATGGCGGCGCCGCCCCATTTTGGCGCACCCCTCATACGCTTCGTGGCCCCATCGGGAGCTCCATCTAAGGTCCCAGTTGCGGAACCCGCATGGCGTCGCCGCCCCCCTCATAGGGAGCTTCACCTAAGGTCCCAGTGGCGGAACTCGCATGGCATCCCCTCCACATTCTGGCACCTCCCTCACACGTCTGGTAGCCCCATAGGGAGCTCCAACCAAGGTCTCAGTGGCGGAACTTGCATGGCGGCCCCGCCCCATTTTGGCACACCCCTCACACGGCTCATGGCCTCATAGGGAGCTCCACCGAAGGCCCCAGTGGCATCGTCCGCATGCGTCTCCCCCAATCAGTATAGCGCTTCGTGGCCCATAGGGAGCTCCACCGAAGACGATACCCACAACTCTGGTACTCACAACTGCATATGGTTGGGTCCTCCGCCAGGCTAAATGTACATGTTTAAGACATGCTTGAAGCATTCCTGGCATCTGGAAACTGTTTGGCAGCACGCCTCCTCTCCATTGATCGACTTCCACAAGTCAAGCTGCAGCCGCCTCCCTGAGATCCGACGTTCCAAAAAAATGCCACACTGCAAAACGTCACGCCTGGAGCCCCAGAGCGCATCTGCCTGCGTCCTTCCTCGAGCCGGATCGCTCCGTGAGGGCCTCGGGGCCCGGCATGGAGCGGAAACCCCCCGATTGGTAAACCTTGCCACGCCAGGACCTCAGGGCCGGCGAAGCCCCCGCAGCGCTGCGCAGCGCACCCATAGGGGGGCACATACGACCCCCACCCCTGCCCCCCACGATTTCTGACGGGGAGGGTGGGGTTCACTTCTCGTTCGGGAGCTCCCGAGCGAAGTGAACCCCACCCTCCCCTCAGAAATCGTGGGGGGCAGGGGTAGGGCTCGCCATGTGGCCTCCCATAACCCAGGGCGCCACAGGGCCTCCCGAGCGCGAGACCTCGGCAGGGCCACCCGGCGCGCGCGCGCGCGGCGCGCAGGCCGGGCGACACAGGCCTCGGCCGGCCCGCGGGCACCCCATGGGGGCCGCCCGCGGGCGCCGCCCGAGCGGAGAGCCGCGGCAGGCCCCCCGAAGAAGGTGCGCGGGCAGCAGGCGAGCGGCCCCCCTGCGCAGGTGAGCAGGCCAGGGGAGAGAGAGAGAAAGAGAGGCGTGCACAGAAGCAGAAAGAGACAGAGAGAGAGGGGGGAACAAAACAACAACGAGAGAGAGAGAGAGATGTGAGGCGGGGATGGATCCATCTCCGCCGCCTGGGGAGCCGACGTCCTGGGGCCCCGGCGGGCGGTGGGTATGAACTTGTCTGAGCTCCAGGGGGTCCGAATTCCATGTCTAACGCCTGTCGAGGTCGGCGAAAATGGATCCTCCAGGCGGTGGCTATGCATGTATAAATCCCCGCCTCGGAAGAGAGAGTGACAGAGAGAGAGCCAGAAATAGAAGGAGGGAACGAGAGAGAGAGAGAGAAGGAGAGAGCGACTAGGGGAAGATGCAACGCGCCCAAGTTCAACAACCTTGTTTGGAGAAAACCCCGCTTGTAAGAACACGCCCGGCTTAAAGTTTGAAGCAATTTCAAGGACGGACGGCGAGTGATTTGCAAGTGTGACTCTCGCCTCAACGCCGCGCAGACTCTTGAAAGTTTGCAGCAGCTTCAAGGATGGATAATAGGTCCGTTACAAACAGCGATTCTCGCCATAACGCCGCGCACATTCTTTTCAAAACTCGCAACGGTCTCAAAGATTCGTGTGGCTGTTCTGGCACGTTTTAGGCTTGCCAGGACGTAGCAGTATCGTTGGATCTCGGTGTCAAGTCCCAGGAACTATGTTCAGACACGTCTGAGGCTTGTCCGGACGCAACAGTCGCGCTGACTTGCAGCGTTGATGCCTCAGGAACTGTGTGTTGATGCCTCAGGAAAAATGGGGCACCTTCCACCATGAGAACACATTACTCTTGTAGAGGCCTTTGCATCGGGAGCTTGGGGAGAGGGTTGATTGCATCATCGTTGATGCACCTTGGGTTTAGAGTGGTCCTCCTCCTGCGTACTCCGTGCTGGCGGCGTCGGTGTCTCCAGAACGCTGCCATCTCTCCCCCAGGGGCAGTTGACACTGGAGTGGCGATCAAACTAGAAGGTGTGTAAGGAAAAACGAATTCGGCTTTGAGACCCCCATAGGCGGAGTCGCTAGGTCCTCAAGCCACCCTGGGGGGGGGGGGGAGAGAGAAGAAGGAACGACAACACGGCGACGACGAGGCCTTTGTCTTCCTCCTTTTCCTCCTCCTCCTCCTCCTCCTCCATTCCCTCCTCCTCCTCCTGCTCATCCTCCTCCTCCTCCTCGTGCGCCCTCTCCTCCTCTTCCTCCTCCTCCTCCTCCTCCTCCTCCTCCTCCTCCTCCTCCTCCTTCTCCTCCTCCTCCCTCGGGGGCAAGTCTCCGAGCGCGCGGCCAGTCTCCTCCCCCGACTCCGAGATGGCCGAGGACTGGCTGCGCACGGAGCTGCGCGCCGTGGCCATCTCCGACCCCTCCCCGCCATCGCGCCCGGGCCCGAAGAGGGCCTGCACGGGGCGACGGCGACGACGGCGACAAAAACGACGACGACGAACACGACGACGATGACGACGAAGACGAAGACGACAACGACAACGACGACGACGAACACGACGACGACGAACACGACGACGACGAACACGACGACAACGAACACGACGACGACGAACACGACGACGACGACGACGACGACGACGACGACGACGACGACGACGACGACGACGGCGACGGCGACGGCGACGGCGACGGCGACGGCGACGGCGACGGCGACGGCGACGACGACAACGACAAAAATCAGGAGGAAACTCCTGGAAGGCCGTCGTGGGAACGAAGCCAGGTGTGTATGTCCACCAGAATGGACCCCACGCTGTGAAATGTGACACTCTGGATGTGTAAGCTATGTAGCGTGGTCTATGGGGTGTGAAGCCGCTCAGGGCCAATCCCCTCCCAACGTTGCATCATGGCTTCTGGTCGTAAGTTGGCTCTCTGGCGGCCGTGCAGGACGGTCTGGCCCCGGAACGCCCTCGGCGAGGCGCAGCCGCTGGAAGGCATCCCGAGGACCAACAAAAAGCCCCCCCCCCCAAACGTTGCCCCTGGCCAAACGAAGGGAGTGGGCGGAGGAGGAGGGGGAGGAGGAGGAGGAGGAGAAGTATGGGGAGGAGGAGGAGGAGGAGGGGGAGGAGGGGTGGATGGAGGAGGAGGACGACGAGGAAGGAGAGGAGGAGGGCGAAAAGGAGAAGGAGGACGACGAGGAGGGCGAGGAGAAGGGCGAGGAGGAGGGCGAGGAGGAGGGAGGGAGGAGGAACATGAGGAGGAGGGAGGAGGAGAAAAAGGAGGAGGATGGACGATGGAGGAAGGACGATGGAGGAGGAGGAGGAGGAGGAGGAGGAGGAAGAGGAGAAGGAGGAGGAGGAGGAGGATGGAGGATGTGGACGAGGGCGAGGGCGAAGAGGAGGAGGCCTGCACCAGGATCGCCATCATCTCGCGCACCGCCGCCCTCCGCACGGCGCCGCCGCAGGCGGCCACCACGCGCTCGGCCACGCCCTCGAGGGCGCGCGGGCTCGGCCGGGACAGGCCCATGGCCTCCGCGGACTCGACGTCGCCGCTGTCGGGGCCGGCGAAGAGGATGTCCTGCGGAGGGGCGCCGACCATCCCAGGGCCCCTCGAGCCGCGAGGAGGAGGAGGAGGAGGAGGAGAAGGGAGGAGGAGGAGGAGGAGGAGGAGGAGGGGAGGAGGAGGAGGAGGAGGAGGAAGTGAAGGAGCGAGGGAGGAGGCGAGAGAGGGCGTATACGAGGAGGAGAGGAGGAGGAGGAGGAGGAGGAGGAGGAGCAGCAGAAGAAGGCCTTGTCAGACGACAACGCAGCCATCCCAGACATCACGACGGAGGGTGGTTGGCCCTCTCCAGCCTCCCAGGGCCCCTCACCGGGCCACGGGGCTGTCCAGAGCCGGCGCGGGGTGAAGAGCTAATCCTGGGGACAGGCTCGGGATGTGTGTGTCCTCCTCCTCCTCCTCCTCCTCCTCCTCCTCCTCCTCCTCCTCCTCCTCCTTGTCTGTCCTTCTTCCTTGGACGTCCGCCGACCCTGTCGGCGCGTGTGAGGGGGAGTCCTGGGGTGTCCCAGGGGTGGTCCTGGGAGGACGCCCCCCAGTGCCCTGGGGCCACCTGGGGCCCCCCAAACTCGCCAGCCCGAGGTGAATCGAGCCAAGTCTTTTGGACGGTTTTGGATGAAAAAAAAAATGGTCAAAACATGATAGATAAATTATTTTAAACATAGCCCTGTGCCGCCGATAGAAAAAGACCCCCCCTTTCCACGCTAGAGTTGTATCCACGGCCAAGAAGAATTTCGTCAGGGGCGTGGGGCGCGGAGGCCAAACTTTTTTATCACTGTGAAAGCTCATCATCGAGGTTAACTGCCTTCTCATGTTGAGATAGTAACATCAAACGAAACGAAGACGTTCTCGAGGATGTCTCAAGCGAAACCAACAGCGTTCTCTTTATATATCTCTCTCTCTCTCTCTCTCTTATGTCTGCTTTTCTCTTTCTCTTTCCGGTTCCTCCCCCTGCCCCCCTGAACTTGTTTTATCGCTGTGGCTTACTATCCATCAAAACCGAGGCACGTGAGCTACCCTACACGAGCAGATGAAAATCTGAAATTCCATTGTTGTTTACAAGTTAACTTTGATGGGTTTGGAACTTTGGCGTTTCTCCTCCTCCTCCTCCTCCTCGGCTTTCGGTCCTCTTAACATAATCTCCTTTTCCTCCCACATGCTAGCCTCCGGCAGGCAACATTTATAAATCCCCCGCAACCCCGAACTTTATTTTATCCCTGTGGCATTAATCTCGGCGGCACAGGGTTAGCCTGGCAAAGCACCCAACCATATGCAGCTGCGCGTACCGCAAATGTGAATATATTCTTCGGTGGCGCTCCCTCTGGGGCCACGAACCCTGTGAGGAGTGTGCCGAAATAGGTGCGGCGGCACTGGGGCCTTCGGTGGAGCTCCCTATGGGGCCAGTGCGAGGTGTGCCGAAATGGGTGTGGAGGACGCGAGTAGAAGGTGCCACTGGGGCCTCCAATGGAGTTCCCTATGGGGCCACGAAGCCTCTGAGGGGTGTGCCGAAATGGGTGTGGGGGGTGCAGGTGGATGGTGGCATTGGGGCCTTCGTTGGAGCTCCCCATGGTGCCACGAAGCGGGAGGTCTGTGCCGAAATGGGGGTGGGGACCGCACGCGGGCACCCCAACTAGGGCCTTCGGTGGAGCTCCCTGCGGGGCCACGAGACGTGTGAGGGGTGTGTCGAAATGAATGTGGGGATCGCATGCGGGCACCCCCACTAGGGCCTTCGGTGGAGCTCCCTATGGGGCCACAAAACGTATGAGGGTTGTGACAGTGTGTGTGGGGACCACATGCGGGCACCCCCACTAGGGCCTTCGGTGGAGCTCCCGAAAGGGGCCATATGTGAGGGGTGTGCCGAAATGGGTGTGGGGACCGCATGCGGGCACCACCACCAAGGCCTTCGGTGGAGCTCCCTATGGGGCCACGAAACGTGTAAGGGGTGTGCCGAAATGGGGGTGGAGACCGCATGCGGGCACCCCTTCTAGGGCCGTCGGCGGAGCTCCCAAAGGGGCTACGAGACGTGTGAAGGGTGTGCCGACATGAATGTGGGGATCGCATGCGGGCACCCCCACCGGGGCCTTCGCTGGAGCTCCCTATCGGGCCACGACACGTGTGATCGGTGTGCCAAGATGGATGAGGGGACCGCGTGCGGGCACTACGTGGGGACCGCATGCGGGCACCCCCACTAGGGCCTTCAGTGGAGCTACCTATGGGGCCGCAAAACGTGCGAGGGGCGCAACAAGTGAGGGGGGGACAAGAGGAGGGAGGAGGGGGAAATGGAGGAGTAGAGGAGAAGAGGAGAACGCGGGGACCGTCTCTTCAAAACGAGGACCCAACACCCACAGGATAGTTGGGAATAACCGAACATAGCCGAAACGTCGACATCGTACCCAGACGAATGGCTAGACTATTTCTGAATTTTCCTCCTGTAGAGGGGCATGCCTGACTTAAGCCCAGCAGTAATGCATCGATTGGAAGCCTGTTCTGTGTGGCCCCTTCCCTGCCAGGCCCCTGGGGAGGTGGGCCTCCCCGCGCCCCCACCCCCCTCCCTGGAGTGACGCAGGCTGGGACGGCCTACGACTACCTTTTTTCTCTCCCCCAAGGTCCGGAAGGAACGCCCGGGGTGGCGAACGGGAGGCGACCCGCCTGCTTTCCTGGGGAGGGACCCCAGTGGCACAGGTGCCCGGAGGCAAAAAAAATGGCAAAGGCGCTTCGGGGATGAGTCAGAACGGCCACAGCGGCAGCGGCAGCGAGCTCTAGTAGTATCCCTGCGACGAATATGGATGCATGGGCCTGGGACCAATTTCTTGGTCGCCTAGGCCTGCCTGAGGCGCACTCCCCAGGAACATACTCGTGGGGGTGGGCCTCGCGCAGGGAGCTGGGCGCCTCCCTCACTCGACAGCTGGGGGGCTAGGGCAGGGCCCATCACGAGAGCCGTGCCCTGAGCCCCAGGGCAAGGGGTGACGCACTCGGTGAGAAGAGGGGGGAAACCACACACACACACACACACACACACACACACACACACACACACACACACACACACACACACACACACACACACGCTCCACCTCCCAACACACACACACACACACACACACACACACACACACACACTCACAGAGGGAAAGAGGGGAGGAGGGAGAGGGCGGCTCCCGCCGCGCCCGAAGGGGGGCAACGGGCGGGGGGCGCGCCTGCGGGTCGCCCGCGTCGACGTGGCGGCAGGGCGGCGGGGGGCCGCGCCGCGCGCCACTCGCTCGGGGCTCTCTCTCCCCCCTCCTCCTCTCCACTCCCTCCTCCCCTCCCAGACAGGGCCATGCAATCCAAATGAAATAATTCTACCTCCTCCTACTCAGGTCTGGGGCTGGGATGGGCGGTCGTGGGCGCTGCCTCTCTGTCCCCTGTTGTGACCAACCGTCGGCGGGACACGTAGCATGAGTCATGGCAGTGTGATCTCTCCGTGGGAACTGACGCACATGCGAGAGACTCGTGGGGGGGGCACGCTCCGTCGCCTGTAAGGGATCGCGCCCACCCAGGTGGGCGCTACGGGCCCCCCCCCCCCCCTCGAGTATAGTAGAGCCCTCCTTGTATCTGAACCGTCGAATTGTTCTATTGTTTCTCTCAGGTCCTCTGGCCCTGCATGGGGCACTCTCGTCTGCGCAGCATCAGCTTCTGACGGTGTAAAAAATCACTTCACTGCCATGATTTGAGAGCGGGTAGTATCTGCCTCGACCTCATGTTCAGATCTCTCCCTCACCGTCCGAAGCGATCGCAATCTCCTCTGCATTCACCTTGCTCTCGCTCTCACTCCCCTGCCCCTTCTGGTGGTTCACCCATGGGCGCTTCTCCTTCCATCCGTAGAATACCCACGTGCTCGGGTCGTCTTTGTTCCATGCTGGGATGTCCTCTGCCGAAGGCGCCCAGCCATGGAACACCCGCGTGCTCGGGTCTCCTGCGCCCCATGGGGGTGCCAACGTGATCTTTGCAAGCTCCATGGCGCGCTGCGCGCGGATCGGCGTGACCTGGTCCTCCAAGTGATTGATCTCGTCTACCTGCTTCTTCATATACTCCTTGCTCGATGGGTATTTAGGTGGGGCCTCGCTGCGGAACTGTAGGCTGCCATGCGCCTGGAGCGTGGCGGTCAACGCCTCCTCGATGCCCTTCAGCTGGTCCGTGATCATCTGCATGTTCTCCCCGATCATGATGGCCTCCAGGGTGTCCCTCGTGTTTAGCATCTGCGACCTGAGCAAGATGCGGTTGAGCTTTCTCTTCTGCGCCGTCAGGTAGTCGACCTGCGTCCCGTACTTCTTCTTGCGCCTTGCATCATTTTCTGGCACGGCTTGATGCTCTTCTCCTGGAGTATCAGCACGTAGTTGAAGTCGCCGATGTCTGGGTCTTCGGCCTCTCCGCGATACACGGGCACCTCGGGCACCTTCGGCAGAGACTCTGGCATCGTTCACACTGCCTCCGTTGGTAGATGATACCGTCCGCGGCGGCCCCACACTCTGTACTCTTGCTGAGCCAGATGTGCTACGGAGGAGCCCCTCCCGTTGTACATACCCCAACATATCCCCAGTGTTGTTCCAGCTGCGCTGGAGTCGGGCGTAGTAGTCGGACGATGGGGCCAGGGGCTCTGGAGTCCTGATTAATTCCACAGGGCCCCTTATTGTCAAGAAAACAACAATATACGCATCAACTACGACATACCGACGCGCACCGACGTAGGTACCTGCACAAACGCACTGTCCAGTTGTGTTCAATACCGAGTGCTGCATTCCCTCCACCCTGTTCTGCGTCTCCAGTTCTAGGTACTCCTTCTGTCCTTCTCCTCATCCTCCAAACCCCTACTGCAGCAACCCTCCTCCCTGCAATGCGCCTCCCCATCCCCAGCCTGTCGTCACATTCCCTTTGTAGGTAGGTGCCGTCTTCTCCGATGTATGTAATAGTCACCAAACAAACACATGCAATCCCAATTGAACCCCGCGGTAGGTGGGTTCCCCCCCCCCCCCCCCCCCCCCTCTGGTGAAACGTCCGTGGCCCGCCGTACCGCTATTTTTGTTTCGTACTTTGTCTCCTCTTCCACTATCCCGCCCCCCTCTGCCTCCTCGACCTTCGGCTTCGTACTTCAAAGATTTGTGTCGTTCTCGTATGTATTGCAATGCTAGCTGGTAAAGCTTCTTGGGATGGCTTTTGCCGCATGTTTCTGCTAACTTGTTCAGCTTCTCCATCCTGGAGGGGCCCTGGCTGATCTCCTTAGCTAGTTTTCGCCCCTTGTTAGTTGAGGAGTCTCCTCCAGAGGTTCGGCTACTTGTGGTCTCTCAGCAAGCTGCGCTGGGGTGCACGGCAACGAATCTGATCCCTTAGCAGAGGACAAGACTGGCGCAGGCGTGGCCTCGGGCAGGCTGATACTGCTACTGCTAGCTATTGCCTGCTCTGTAGCTGCTTCTCTACCGTGCGCTCCAAGTCCGTCTTCGGCCCCACTGACTGGCCGCACTGCCCCCCCCCCCCCCCCCCCCATCATTTTCAAGATGTAGCCCATTGCCTGGCGCATGTAGTTCGGGCTGTACTCGTTGGTCTCGTCCTTGTCCTCGTCCTCCGCCAGCATGGCCCCGCCCCCATCGTCTGACTTGTAATTGATGAAGTCCTCCCCCATCGCCAGGTGGATGCACGGCATCGAGTTTATGCAATACTGCAGCTTCACCTTGCTGTTCCCGTCGTCCTCCTGGCCCTTCGGTATGTACGCCTCCGTCAGCTTGAACATTTTGATAATCTCCTGGATGAACTCTTTCCCCTTCTCGTGAAATGCCAGGCGCAGCCACTGGTTGAGGATCTACATGCTCCACTGGACCTCCCTCTGGTAGCCTTCCTTCTCCAGACAGGATTGCGCGTTGTTGCGCATCTCCTGAATCGTAGCAACTGCGACGTGGACGCGGGGGGGGGCGAGGTTGCGACGCTTCCCCTTTGGCCGCACTTCTGCGGCGCACTCTCGCCCCGCCGCGAGGCCCACCTTGGACGGCGAGCAGGAGCCAGGGATCAGCCAGAAGTCCGTCGCCAGGTGCGCTCGCTCCCGTGCTCGTTGCGCCGTCCGCAGCGACAGGCGCTGCAGCGATGTGATCGTCTGGGCGAACGAGTGGCTGTCGTCTTGGCTGGCACTTGGGCCGCCTCCTCTGCGCAGTGGTTGGCCCCCTGGAGGTCCTGCGCTGCTCGCTGGACCTGCGCCCTTGCCCCCATTGGCCCTTGCTGTCCTTGGCCGCGCGTGGGCTGGCGTCGCGAGGGCGCAACTCTGCGGCCCTCTTCAGGCCCCAGGGCGGGTGCGCCAGCATAATGCCGTCTGCCATGGCTGTGCGCCCCCTGCTGCTTAGGTTCCCGCACTGAGGTAGGCCCTGGGTGGCGCGACCGAGCGTGCTCGTGAAACCCTTCTAATGTTTGGGCCTCAAGATTACAGATGCGGCATATGAGAGACCGTGGCGGCTGGATGGGGTGGTTCCATTTGCTCCGATCACGGTGACAAATCCCATGGCCGTCGGCTGCTCTGGTCGCATGGTCGATTGCTGTCCTCTTATCTGCAAAGGCCGACAGGCACCACGGGCATTGATTTGTTGCCACCAAACTGGCGACCACTGGCCGAATGTTGCGGTACTCTCTGCGGTGTCCTAGCAATGCCTGGATTGTAATAAAGCGCTTTCCGCAAACCAAGGCAGTCCCCTCAGCAGTCCGTACAATGCAGTCGCACCAGTACTGCTTTGTGACATCGTTCTCCTCCTCTTCCTCGCCCTCCGTCTCTCCCCCGTTTCCTCTGACTGCGTCCAATTCTGCTACTCCCATGCTTCTCAATACAGTGGGGCCCGTGGCCGTCCAGTGTTTCCAAGCAGCGGTCCCTGGGCAGAATATTTCGACATCTGAAACCCTCTCGTCGTACCAGCTTTTTATGTCCAAATCGGCGTTGGCCAGTGCATCCAAATCCTCCTTTACCTCCTTGGCCCAGGGGGTCGAGAATTGCCATACCCATTTGTTGTCCTGAAATCGGCGCACTCCCCTCCTGATGTCTAATACCGAGCCCCCAGAAACCGCTGCAAGTACTCCTACATGCTCCGTGGGGTATAGAGCCCAACTCTTGTACCATTTCAATCGTCTTGTTCTGAGTGCCGTCGCCGCTGGTTCTATTCTCCAGTCCCGAAAGACCCTTGCAGATGAATGACAGCGTGTTTCCCCTGTCTCTGTCTTCCAGCTCATCTTCCCTCCTGACATTCTGCGCAGATACTTGCAAATCACCGCGTCAATGGCTCGTGTGAGAGAGGCAGATAAGACAAAGGCAGTGAGACCGCTTAACCCCGCACCTAGGACAAACGCTATGAACATCGTCCTCTTGATAACTGCTGGCGTGTCCGAGCTCCAAAAACTGCCGCATTGTCTCCACGCAACATGCATGGCCTTAATTATATTTTGAATCTCTCCTCCGAGTCCCTGGTCCGATGGCAGGAAAGGTCCTAGCACCCGCATCTCTCTCAGAGCTTCTCCTTTCAGCTTGTTCGATCGTCTCAACTGTCGGGTAGTGCCGTAGCTCTGTGGGCCTTTCAAGCATAGGAGGTGATGTGTCTTCCCCTGGTTGAGCTTCCAACCTCCGCGCCCGATCGTGGTTTCTAGCCGCTCGGTTGCGTCGTTCAACTGCTGTGTGACCTCTTCTGCCGTAGCTCCCTGGAGTATCGTGTGTGTCCTGGTTATGTCATCCATGAAAAATGTTCAATGCTAAGTCGTGCGTTCGTCCTGTCACTGGGTTGTGCGTGTCGTGCCAAGTCCGGTGAATGTCTCTACTCCGCTCCCCCTGCAACCATTGTTCCACGTACAGGTTATACACATCATTGAATTGCCGTGGACACAGTGTAAACCCCATCTGAGCCCTCTCCGTCGCTTCCGCGTGCAACCAATCGTCGGCACAGCGCATGCTCAACTGGGTGTTGCAAATTGCTCCTAGGGCAAACGGCTGATCCGCTTCTGTCGCGTACCGCCATGCAGTCGCCTCCAAGAGTCATCGCTCCGTGCTGGCAAACGCGTTGCTACAATCGTAGTTAGTGCGCACAATGCTCATGCCCGCCTCTCCCGCCCTCCATTGTGTAGCTTGAAGGCACAATATCGCATTTTCTCTACTTCTATGTGCGAGGCCCCCTTGAGCCCATGGGGGGGGGTCAGGCTGGGGGCCCCTTTTGTGCATCCCCCAGCGCTGCGCCATACTCATGGAGTCGTACGCATGCATGATACGCTCCCCTCCTACGCCTGCTTTGCCATTGTTCTTGTCCGCGTCGAAAGAAATGGATCTATGCCAGGATAGTGGTGTCACCTGTGTACTCCGAATCTTCGTAAGCAACTGGTCCAAAAAACGCTGGAAAAGAAAGCCTCTCTCCTCCACCTGTCTTCTCACTGTCGTCGTACCTAGGCCCGCTTGGGCAGGGCGGTCCACGTAGCATGGAGTAACCTCGTTGTGCGTCAACTCTGTGCCGTCCAGTGGTTCTTCAGATCTGCCTAACTTCGCACCACTCTTCCATCCCATGCGTTCCAAAATCCGTCTGCCCACCCGATATTTATGCAGTGATGTGTATTTGCTCAAGTCCTCCTCATCCTTTCTTTTCTCCGCCGCCCTGATCCCCCTCTCTTCGATCTGCCTACTTCGCAGCTCTGGGTGCCCAAGGTGGGTAGTGGGGTCCAGGATCACCCACGTGAGTTCTACTGGGATCCCCCACTCCGGCCAAGCTCGACGTTTGGCTGCTCGTTTGCAATACTTCAACATCCAGCGCTCGTCCGCGAGGACTTGACCCGTGAGCTCCAAATCCTCTGGCAACGGCGTTTGGTCATTGAGTCTTTGCTGCTGTTCCTGCAAATATTCTGCCAAGTCAATCTCTCTGGCCCCCAGTCCCCCTTCACATGGTGGTGATCCTAGTTCTTGCACCCACTCGCTCTTTGGCCAATACGTCCGCGCCGCTGCATAATACCTCTTTTTTGGCCACCGACCGTTTTTTTGGCACTGTATGCGCAGTCGGTGCATGGTACTGAAATCGTTTCTTTGATGGGCTTCCCATATCTCCCGCACAAGGCGCGCTCGTCTCTGCTCTTCCGCATCCGCCCGCAATTTCTTCAAGAGGGCTGACATCTCCGACAACTCCTGCTGTGTCTGCACAGGCGCCTCCTCCCCTTCACTGTCCACCATCTTCTCTCGCAACTCCCGTCGTTCGGCTAGCAGTGACACGCGCCTGGCCCGCACTTGCTCGATGGCCTCGTCGCAGTCGGCCTTGCCCTGCCTGAAGCAGGTGTCTGAGGCCTGCCTAGCCGCCCCCCCCCAAACCTCCCACATGCCGTCGGGTGCGCTCTCGTCCTTCACCTCCTCCCATCTCCGACTCACCTTCTGCATTTTGGATTCCAGAACTTCGAAAAACTCGGGCCTTCTTTTCCCTCTCCGAAGACATTCCATGAGTTGGTCTCTATCTAGCAAGGGTGACCTTTCCTTCCGTACTGAGGCAAAGCTGTTCTTGCTAGTGATGGGCAGTACAATTCCCACTGGGATGTGTTCGCGATGGCCTCGACGCTTGATGAGCTGGAGTCGCTTTGCGGACGTCCGCAGCGCTACACATCCCTCTGCTAACTTCAAGGCGCCTACTGGGAGTGCAATATGGTCTATGACACTTGTCACGCCGTTGGCTGCATAGTAGGTTGGTCCGATGCCATGGTACGTGGTGGCAATACTGAGATTCGATCCACAAAATTCCCTGAAGTGTTTCCCATTTTCATTCTCCAATTGTCTGTGCTGTGGGCCCGTCGTCACTCCTCTATTTACCTCCACCATACCGTCCGTGCCTCTATGCAATCCAAACTGGCTGTTGATGTCCCCTCCCACTACTATCGTGCATCTAGCTCCTAATCGGTCACATTGTCCCTCCATCCACTCCGTAACATTCTTAGCAACTCGTTCGTGCTGCTTGAAGTGCGTGGGGGCGAAGTACACACTGAAGAAGCAGAAGTCTACTTCTCGCGACCAAAGCCTGATACCCCCGACTCTGCCCTGTATCTCCCTGGGTGGGACGAAGGTTTTTCGAAGGGCCGTGATGTGGATGCTGTGATGTACTAATATTGCCACTCCGCATACCTTCGTGACTAGGTGGCCCTTTCTTGCTCCAAATCTGTACGCAAGGTGATTGGGCAACCTCATCGTAAATATCCCCTCGTCTCCTGCCCAGTGATGTGTCCCGTTCAATAAAATGAGATCCCAACCTCTAAATTCAGTACTGATGTCCTCCAGTCTCTCGCTCATACCTGCTGACTGTGGGTTGTACGTCAGGATTTTCATCTCCGATAAACGGTTCCAGCGGCAGTGTCTAGGGCGAGTGTGTCTCCCTCACCCCCTCCCCTGGCATAGGCGAGAGAGCAGCGGCGCGTGAAAGTCGCGCGCGGGTAAACTTGTGCCCTCCTGGCGGGTCGCTCGCACCTCGGGCCTTCCCACGCCGACTAGGTGCCCGGAGGAGGAGGAGGAGGAGGAGGAGGAGGAGGAGGAGGAGGAGGAGGAGGAGGAGGAGGAGAGAGAAGGTGGAGGGAGGAGGAGGAGGGGGGGAGGAGGAGGAGGAGGAGGAGGATGAGGAGGAAGAGGAGGAGGAGGAGGAGGAGAGGAGGAGGAGGAGGAGGAGGAGGAGGGGCCCAGAGATCAAAGTCAGCGCACGGCGCACGCAGGCGAGCACGGTGGACCCCCCCCCCGCGGGGTCCGCCATCAGCTGCACCACGCCGCGCGCGGGCTCGACCCGGTCCTTGCTGGGGGCAAGGGGGGGGGGCGGAGGCAGGCGCGGGCCCCAAGAGTATACACCACCAGCACCACCACCTCCTCCATTCCCCCCCCTCCTCCACCCTCATCTCCTCCGCCTCCTCCGCCTCCTCCTCCTCCTCCTCCTCCTCCTCCTCCTCCTCTCCTCCTCCTCCCTCCTCCCTCTCCCTCCTCCCTCCTCCTCCTCCTCCTCGCTCTCCCTCCTCCTCCTCCCTCCTCCCTCCTCCCTCCTCCCTCCTCCCTCCTCCCTCCTCCCTCCTCCTCCTCCCTCGCCTCTTCCCTGGGAGAGGGAGGAGACGAGGAAGGAGGTGGTGGTGTGTATACTCTGGGCCGCGGAGGCAGGACCCGTCGGCATCGGATCGGGCACTCGGAGCGAGTCGAGGTGTGCGTCGGATCGGGGCCCAGAGCGGGCGCTCCCGAAGGAAGTGGAGCGGCCCGTGTTTGCCCGTCTCTTCGGCCTCCGGAGGCCGCCACCTGGCACTGGGACCGGAGGAGGAGGAGGAGGAGGAGGAGGAGGAGGAGGACGAGGAGGAGGAGGAGGAGGAAGAGGAGGCGGAGGAGGGTGTAGAAGTGGTCCAGACCTCAGGGGACCCCCGGGGACCGCCACGCATCAGACAAAACATCGGAGCGCGCGGAGGTCCGGGCACGCATCGGCACGGCTTCAGAATCGGATCGGATCGGACGCGCCGTGATGCAAGCAGCGCCATGCGAGCGTCGGATCGCGTCGGATCGCCTGGACACCAGAATCGGACCAGATCGGGCCGGCCGGAGTTGGTATCGAATCGGATCGTTCGGATCGAAGTGGGCTCTGGAAGGAGGCAAGCATCTGGCGCCTCGAAAACATCCAGGCAGCCAATGCGTCGCCCCCCTTTGGCCTCTGGATGCCAGGCTCGAGCCCCCTGACCGTCAAAAACGCTCGAGCGAGGGAAATCTGCGATGGTGAAGAGGTCGAGGACCTGGGACCTCCTCCTCCTCCTCCTCCTCCTCCTCCTCCTCCTCCTCCTCCTACTCCTACTCCTACTCCAACTCCTACTCTTACTCCTACTCCTACTCATCCGTCTCATCCTCCTCCATCGAAAATCAAAATTAATAGCGCCGGATGCCTGCGGATACAGAGCGCCGGATACCTGGGGATGTCCTGTTTGAGAAGCTTGAACTATGCCACAGGGTGCTAGTGCTAGAAGCAGGGGATGCCCTGTTTGAAAAGCTTGAGCTATGACTTGGACCACAGGCGTACGCACCCTTCTAATTGCTACTCCGAGCCTGCACTGCGCACTGCTCGGCAAAAGACGGAAGCATTAGGGATAACCTTTGGCAACTATACATGCCACGCACTCTGAGCCGAGTGTCCCTCGTGCAGCGTCGGACGTGCCAGATCCGCCGAGGCATTGAGAGACACATGGGCTGGCACAGAGAACCAGGGTCGGTGGGGCAGCTCGTGCGTCGGCTCCGCGAGTGGGGGGCCTCGGAAGCACCGCGCGACGGGGTCTGGAGTCCAGGATCGAAGGTGGCGGCGGAGGCCGAGGTGGCCGTCGAGCGGCCAGCGCGCCTCTGCTCGTGGGGCCCCCCGGCGCAAGCTCACCGGTAGGCTCGACGCGCTCGGGAGCAGCACGCGGTGGGCCCCAGAAGGCCGGGGACGAGGGCGAAGAGCGCGCTGCGGCCAGGGCTCTCGAGGCGAATGCAGCGGCGGCGACGAGGGCGGCTTCCCAGGAGGCCGAGGGAAAGAGAGGAAAAGACGAGCGAAGGGTAGCGGGAGGGTCAGGTCGGGCATATCCACCAACAGGCGGATTTTGGATGACAAATCAAACTAATCAAAAAAAGCTCGAACATATTCCTCCTGTAGAGGGGCAGGCCCGACTTAAGGGACAGGCCCGACTGAAGGGTGCCGCAAGAGAGGACCGTTTTCAGCGCACCTTGCAGGCTCGACGCGAGCATGCTGCGGCGAGCCTCGAAGGTCGGAGGGCAGTAGGGAAGCGAGCTCTGTATTTAGGATGCTCCCATCGGACTGAAGGACCACATCCCAGAAGTAGTTAATTTCGAGCACACAGAAAAGTATCGAAAAAGCATCGAACGAGTATCGCCTCCCAGGGCCCGACACGTGAAATCCCTCCAGTTTCGTTACTTTCCTGGTGCGCGAAATCCTTTCTGGTGGTCAAGGGTAAACAAGGTAAGAACATCATAACTCTGTATACACCGACGCTTCTTCCAGCCCTGCACCGAGGCTTGCAGCATGGAGATGGTGCGCAGAGCCTCTCCGCACAGCGCTCACAGGGACGAAGAGAGAGAGAGAGAGAGAGAACCCCCCGCGGATCTCTGGGCGCATCGGCTCGAGATCGAGCCGGCTCGATATCGCATCGGAACCGAACCGGCCTCCGTTGTGTTGGGATCTCCAGGCGCATCGGATCGAGATCGAATCGCCTCGAGATCGGATCGGAACCGAATCGGCATCCAGTTTCGCGCCAGCTCGAGCCGAAACCGAAGCGGAAGCGGGCGCGCCCGCGGCGGGTGGAAGCGACGGCCTCGGGGGCGAGGGCCCTGCGGAGAGGGCAGCCGAGGGGCGGCCCCCCCCCCGCACAGGCGCTCGCGAGGGGCGGGCGGAAAGGCTCGTCCCCGCAGGCTCGGCAAGCTCGGCGCTCGAGGAGCACGCGCGAGCGCGGCGGGCTCCTTCCTCTCCTCCTCCTCCTCCTCCTCCTCCTCCTCCTCCCTCCTCCTCCTCCTCCTCCTCCTCCTCCTCCTCCTCCTCCTCCTCCCTCCTCCTCTCCTCCTCCTCCGTCTCCTCCTCCTCCTCCGCCTCCTCCTCCGCCTCCTCCTCCTCCGCCTCCTCCTCCTCCTCCTCCTCCTCCTCCTCCTCCTCCAACTCCTCCTCTGGGGACAGCAGGCAGAGGGAGCTAGGGGAACGAACACTGACATGAGCATTATCCCGTTCTCTTTTGTGTTATAAGCCGTTCGTCCTCTTCCCCACAGAAGGCGCAGGAAGCATCCCAGACGGTTCGAAGTCTTCTAAGTCTAGTGAGAAAGCCCGCTCCTAGGGGAACGAACCATGACATAAACATAACCACTCGGAGATCTGATCCTGCCTGGACGGCCCTCCTCAGGGCCAGCAACATCGCTCTACCACATTGGATCATGAAACTCGGTGCTACTACGATCCACATCAATCAGACCACCCAAAGATTGCGAGGGGCTGGCGAGGGTCGTGCCCCGAGGCGCAGATGTCGAGAGGACTAGAACGACGTCCTCGGGGGCTCTTCGAGCTCTCTTGTGGGGTCTTTGGGTACTCTGTTGGACCATCTTGACGTCCTCAAAGACGATGTCGTTTCAGAGCCCCGTCCGCACCGAATAGTGGCGTGTGTCTCTCGCGGAACGACGCCGCCGCCGCCACCGCCGCCGCCGCCGCCGACGCCGACGCCGACGCCGACGACGACGACGACAAGACCACCCACTCCTCGCCGGTGAGGTCGCACACCGCCTCCGCCATCTGCTGGATTTGCGCCTTGCTCGGGCGCTCCGCCCCGGGCACGCCTGGGGGGCGGCACGTGCAAGCAGCTCCGAGGGGCTCGGCGGCCGAGGCGCCAAAGATCGACGGCCGAGGCTCGACGCGCGAGGTGATCCTTGTCCGTCCTCCTCCCCCACCCTCCTCCGGAGCGAAGATCGACAGCTCCGTCCTCCTCGTCCGCCCTCCTCCTACACCGTCCTCTTTCCTCCTCCTCCTCCTCCTCCTCCTCCTCCTCCTCCTCCTCCTCCTCCTCCTCAACAATTATTTCAATATGAATACTACTCTCCCTCTTCTCCTGATGACGTCTTGGGAGTAGCCGCCCCCCCCCCGCGCACTGTTTTTTACACCGGTTTCCCCGGAGTTGGGTTTTCGCTACTTTTTTCCCAAAATGCTGCTCTCGCTGAGGCGCCGGCCTCATTTTCGGGCCCCGCTCGTTCCGAATCGTGCTCCCGCTGCAGCGTGGGTCTCATTTTCGGATCGGTGTTTTGCCTCCGTCGTTCAGGATGGCGTTCTCGCCCCAGCGCGGGCCTCTTTCTCGCGCGCCCATCCGCCCGCCACCACCGCACCGCGCCCCGCCCCGCCCACCGCCACTTCCACCCACCAACGCACGCACGCACGCACGCACGCACGCACGCGCACCGCCACCACCACCCCACTTACCCCACCCACTACCACCGCGCTACACCGCGTCAAACCACATCACACGCGCGCACACAGACACACACGCACGCACGCACGCACGCACGCACGCACGCACGCACGCACGCACGCACACACACACACACACACACATGCACACGCACACGCACACGCACACACACACACACAAACACACACACACGCACACACACACACACACCACCACCACCACCGCCACCACCACCACCGCCATCACGCACGCACGCACCTGGCCCACCACCAAACCACCAAGACGCCACACCACGTCACACCACAGCACACGCGCACACACGCACACCACCACACCACCACCACCACCACCACCACCACCACCACCACACCACCACACCCACAACCACCACACACGCACGCACGCACGCACGCGCACCACCACCCACTACGCACGCGCGCGCGCGGAGCCACAGGTCCGCTACGACACGCGTCCGCGGATAGAGAAAATCAGCGCCATGGTAAGGGATGGGAGGGAGGGGTAGGACGTCAGATATGACGCGAGCGCACTTAGCTTGTCCCCCTCCCCCTCCTCCTCCTCCTCCTCCTCCTCCTGTACTCCTCTCCTCCTCCTCCCTCCTCCGCCTCCTCCTCCTCCGCTCCTCCTCGTCCCTCCTCCCTCCTCCTCCTCCTCATCATCCTTCTCCTCCTCTTTTCCTCCTCCTCCTCCTCCTCCTCCTCCTCCTCCTCCTCCTCCTCCTCCCCCTCCTCCTCACCCTCCGCCTCCTCCTCCTACGTCCTCCTCCTCCTCCTCTCTCCTCCTCCTCTCCTCCTCCTCCTCCTTCTCCTTCTCCTCTCCTCTCCTCCTCCTCGTCCTCCTCTTCCTCCTCCTCCTCCTCCTCCTCCTCCTCCTCCTCCTCCTCCTCCTCCTCCTCCTCCTCATCCTCCTCCTCCCCCTACTCGTCCTCCTCCTCCTCCTCCTCCTTCTCTTCCTCCTCCTCCTCGCACTCCTGAATCACTCCTCCCTGTCGCACCCCCAGTCGTGTCGGTAGGGCGGGCCGGGAGTTTCGCCTGAGGATTCCAGGACATGGCCGCGGACAAGCGGTATCCGCTTCATTCCCAGTGTAAGTGGACAGCCTGAGTCAAAATGGAGGGGCGTCCTGAGAAGAAGAGCGGGGAAAATGAGGGCGGAACAGGGTGTGACGGAGGAGCAGGCGGAGGGGGGGGGGGGGGCTCTCGAACCTCAATGTTCCTCCCACCCCCTCCCCTCCCTCGACGTTCCTCGGACCTCGATGCTGTTCCCCATCCTCGCCCGCGCCTGGCGCCGAGGACGCGGGCTCGCTGTGCTCGACCACGCTGCTCGGGGCCACGCTCAGCTCGGCGCTGCGCTCGTGGCCGCGGGCGCCGAAGAGGCGGTCGGCGATGCCCGTCAGCATGAGCTCGATCTCCTCGGGCACCGCCCCTCTCGCACTCTCGCGCCCTCGCTCTCGCACCGCCCCTCCGTGGAGGCGGGCAGAGGATGAGGAATCGCGGATCGCGAGCCACGACTGTGGCGGGAAAAGAAGCCTACCTCGCTTTTGACCACCCTCGCTTCCAAGAGATACCAAGCGATGCCAAATTGCAGCCTGTACTGGCCAGGCCGCTTGACGAGGAGGCGCGTGGTATGACTTGGTTTTGCCTGGAAGCGAAAGCGGGGTAGGTAATTCACGCTCTGAGAACGACCTCGCGCGGCGCGAGGCTACTCGCGGCTCGCTGCGCGCGGTTCACCGCGGCGCGAGGCCTCGCGCGGCGCGGCGCGGGCACAGCAGGAGACGAGGGCCGGTAATTACGAGGGCGCGAGTCGCGCCCTCGCAGCGGCCCTCGTCTCCTGCTGTGCTACACAAGACGGAGCCAAGACAGGGGCAAGAGAGCGGGCAAAACCGAGGATCTCCGAGCTCTGGCGGCCCTGGGAAGTGTATCGGGCGCCGCAGCCGACCCAGCACGCTCTGAAGCGATGCATCCTGGTCCTGGCCTCGCCCAGCAAGCCACTACGAGAAGGAGCGCTCGGTGAGGAGCCAGGTCCCCTGCTGGCCCCCAACAACGCCAGGGTGCATGAGGAACGCTAGAAGAACGACCGTGGAAGGCAAGGTAAGGTAAACTGCTGGAGGCAACTCATTCGCAACGAGCACCTAGCGGTTCGCGACGTGCTCACGGAATCCCTGCGCAGGCACTAGTCTAACAAGAATCTGAGTAATGACGGCGTCAGGGCACTAGCGAAGAGGAATGCCAACCAGGGAAGGAACGGAGGAACAGAGAGCCCCTTCTCAGTCGGAACGGGTCCTTGCCTCAGCGTTTTGGCTGCAGGGGGATTGTGTGCAGCAGCTGCTTCTGCTGGGAAGTGACGCCTGGCGCCTGGGCGCGCCACCGGCGCGCCAGAGGCGCAGTGCTCAGCGACCGGGTGCCACGGCCTCCCCCTCTGTGGCCCCCGCCGCCCTCCCGCCCCCTCGCCTGCCTCCCTCGCCGCAGGGCTCCTGCCGCGCTCGTGAACACTGGCCCTCGCTCGGACGTCCATTCCCTGAGCTTCTCTCGGTTTCGTGCGCGTTTTTTTTTTCGCCAAATGATCAAGGATGCTCCTCGATGGTTCTCGCCGAGAAAAGATGCACACGTCCGAGCGATGCCAAGAACAGGGAGGCGGCTCCTGCCCAGGGAAGCCAGGACGCACACGGGCCTGGCCTCGCCCTGGCGGAGCACCCCGGGGCCCCGCGCCGGCTCTGCACCGTGCGGGGGCCCGGCGGGCTCTCGGCCGCGCGCCTGGAGCCGCGCCGTGGCCGCGCGTGCAGTCGGCCCCCACGCGGGAGCCCCGCGTCGCGCGACGCGCGGCTCTCTTCGCGCCCCCGCGCCGCCTCCTTGGGGGAGAAGGGCCGCCGACGCGGCCCAGGCCGCAGCACGCGGAGCGCGCTGCTCGTCGCGCCCCCGCGCGGCCTCCTGGCAGCCTCCGCCTGCCACGGGGGCGTGGGGGCGGGCTCGAGGATCCAGCCCCAGGGGCAGGGGGAAAGGGCAGGGGGTGGCAGGAGTGGGAGGAGCCCCGGGGGGGAGGGGGGGGGGGGGGAAGGGAGGGGCGGGAGGAGGGGAGGGGAGGGTGGGGGGAAGGCGGGAGGGCAAGGAAGGACAGGGGAACGGTGGGTGCGGAGGGCGGGGGGGATGAGGGGAGGAGGTGAAGGCGGGCGGGCGGTGGGGGAAGAAGGAGAAGAACGACGCCTGAGGCGGACCTGTCTCATGACGGGGGCGCGGCGACTCTCGGCAGGGCGGCGCTTGGGGGTTACTTCATCCCCTGCCGCTTGCGCCACCTGCTGGGTCGCCAGCCCGCCGCGCTGCTTCGCGCTGGCGCACTCTCTCGCCGAGCGAAGCCATCCTCACCTCACACATGTACTCCGCATTCGATTTCGGCCGAATCAGAACACGGGTGGCTGCAGTACGAGCTGCACGGCGTGTGGGCACAGCTCTCTGGGCATGCACAATACAGTCGAGGCGTTGACCTAAGGAACCCTAAATAGGGAACGAGGCCCCTTTTTCCCATAAGTTCAACCTCGATTTCCCCTGGAAACCTCAGGAAAACCCGAGGCAAACTTTGAAGCAATCAAGGAACACCGAGCCCCTCCCCAACGAAAAAAGGGTTCCTTCTTCAGCGCCCCGACGGTACAATCGACTCGCTTCTGCAAGCGCTTCTGCGGCCCGATCCCGGCGCGCAGATCATTTGAGGATGCCCACACCTTCGGAGGTCGGGCGAACACAGGGCTCCTGAGCTTCAGGTTGCGTGCGGCAGGTTCGTGTCGTGCCGACCGCAGCGTTGGTTTCTGACACCGCGCTGGATCGTTCAACCTTGAACGATCGGCCGTTCTCGAAACGTCCAATCGTTCCACATCGATCGATTCTGGGTCGCCCGCGGCGTTCCACCCCGAACGCCCGCGCGGGGGGCCACCGCGGGTCGACGCGACGCAAACCTACCGTACGACGCGGCTGGGCCCGGGCAGCGCACTGCATGCACACAAACACGTGCTTGTCAACTGGGACTGAAGAGCCTGTACTACAGGGACGAAAAACGACCCCACCCTGGGTTACACGTGCGTGGTCTGTAGACCTCCTGGGAACCCCCAAAGCCTGGAGCCGCCAGGACGCGGCACATCACGCAGGTTTTACCCTGTCAGCCCACAGGAGTTTCAGCGCATAGCGTCTCGTAAACCAGGGTAGGGGCGTTTTTAGTTATGCCCTTGATTTACGCTTTGCTCCATTAGGCTGTATCAGACATTGCTTCAGGAACTCTGGAGTGCTATGGCAACCTGTCAAGGGCCAGTCCCGAGAATCATCCTGCAGGACAGCCAAGCGAGCACGGCACCGTACTCCGATGTCAGTCTTCACCCAGTCATGGCACCCCTCCCGCCTCACATTACGACTACACCCTGCGAAATGCTTAAGAAACCATGGGTTAAGAAATTCAGAGTCTCAGAACTGGAATAAAAACCCAGAACTTCTATCAAAATCTTGGGATTTACATTGAACAGTTAAGAATAATCGAGACTCTGGACGAAAACTTAGGTTTTCTTAAGCATCGCCTAAGGTGTACGCCGAAACACAGGCAGCCGCCGCCACCGCTCCTCCTGCTCATAACAGGGAAGGGCAGCGACGGCGAGGCGCACGAGAGCGGAGGTCCTCTCCTCGCACTCCTCCGACCACTGGCACACATCGGAAGGCGGTCCTGGGTGGACAACCACGGCACGTTTAGCGACGAACGTCCGTGATCCGCCGCTGCTCTACAGTAAAGTGTTCACACTCAGTGCTACTACGGTGCGTTTTGAAGTGCTCAGCGTGCTGCAAGAACCCCTTGTCCTGGAAGACTGTCATCGAGCGTTTGCACGCACGCATACCAAAGACCTGTCGACATGCTGCTGCTCACGATTTGTTTGGTCGCTCGGGCAGCTCCGATGCATTCGAAGTACGACTTGGCGGGCCTGTCGGCGATCTGGCCCGAGCACGCGAGGACCATGTACTCCGCCACCACGGACGTCTAAGGCATCGCAGGTGGCACAGTCCCATATACTTCCATCAGCGATTCTGACACATCGGGATCGACAAGAACTATGGCCCAGCCAGCTCTCTGCAGTTCCGTCAAGGCTGGCTTTGGAGAAGTCCATCAGCTGCAGGTTCAATCGTCTGAACTTGTGGGCAAGCATGCTGGACTACTACCTCGGGATCTACATATATATATAGAGAGAGAGAGAGGAAGCGTCCATACTGACCACAGAAGACTGAGTGCCAAGAGCCAGAGCAAGAAGATCTGCTTCCATATAGACGAACGAGCCATTATGGAAGATCGTCTCCGCGACCTGGTCGATTCCGAGCTGAATGAAACTAGTAGGCGCATCGGACTCCTGGCGCGCAGCAACAACATTGGCCTCCATGCATCTGGAGAGCCTGTGGTGGACGGTGCCGGACAGGGCACAAAAGCCCTTCCCGTCGGTATCATACCCACGGAGCCTCGCACGCTCTCGGGCCCAAGAAGCACCAGTGGCGAAAGACTTGACCAGGAACTTGTGGTAAGTGGAGAACTTGCGATTCCTTGCCCTCGCGACGGGCCTGAACATGTCGAATGTTATGCGGGTGCCGTCAGGCTGCTCGCGCCGCGCTTCAAGCGACAACTCATGTTGACGTTGGAGACCTTTAAACATAAGTATGTCCAGAACGCCTGGCATACTGCTTCAGCGGTATGTCTGTACCACGGTGGTCTCGCCAATTGCACCAGTTCACAAGTGTCCAGCAAACACCACCGACGCATAGCGCAGCTCCAGACCGATCATTGAGATCATGAGCTCGAAGTGCTAGGACCCACCACGACTCCAACTGAGCTAACGAGACGAGCGCATCAGCAGGACGAGCGACTGCGATCCACAACATTCTGGACCACTGTAATGCTAGAGCGGCCGGGGCAGCCGATCCACAACGACAGCGGATTCGATTTCCCCAGCTGCTCTAGGAGAACCACATTCGGGGATCTTCTGACCCGGGTCAGTCCAGACCCGGGTCAGCAGGAAACCAAAAAACTGCAATGCAGGAAAACAAACTGCAACGCAGGTCTTCGCAAACCCGGGTCAGCCAATGCGCGCGGCCGCCTCGCGGCCACGAGCGGCTCGCTGACCCTGGTTGGCCAGAGGGGGTCTTCGCAGGATCCTGCAAGATCTGGCGCTCTGGCTGACCCCCGTTTGCATTGACCCCCGTCTCAAGGCTCCCGACACATGATGGGCGACCCCATGTCGGCTTCTGCGGGCCTGGCAAGATGGGGCCAGCCTGCATGGCGCCGACGATACGCTCGCCAGCGCAGCACCAGCGCAGTACAGCTCCTGCTCGCACGCTGTGGATCGAGGCAGCCCGTGCTCTGAGGCGGGCGGTCCTGGCCTGGGCTGACAGGCCGCCATGGTTGAAACTTGCCGTGGTAACAGCGGTGCCCAGTCTGGCACGAGGGCGCGGATGCCCTCTCGTGCAAGCATCTTGAGCCAAAATGGCTACGGAGGGGGACGGTGGGGAAGGGGGAGAGGGTGGGGGAGGGGAGGGTGGGGGGACGGTGGGGGGAGGAGGGGAGGGACAGGAGAAGGGGAGGAGATGAGATAGGACCAGCGTAAGCCCAAGGCGCATTGACGATGTTACGATACACCCTCCCTCCGTTTTCCCTCTTTACGAATCCCTACAACACTAGATTTCATTACGGAAATGTCCTTGCCAGAACACTATCCCTGGGACATCAACGCCGCGAATCAACGTGCTTGTTGCGTCCTAACAAGCCTAAACCATGCCAGAACACATTTTCCTGGGACTTCATTCAACACCGCGAATCAACATGACTGCTGCGTCCTGACAATTCTAAATTGTGCCAGAACAGCACTCCTTGGACATCAGCCCTACGATTCCTTGAAACTGCTGCAACTTGTTCAGACGAGTGCGAACGGCGCTAAGGCGAGAGCCACATGTTGAAGGGAATCGGCCTCCATCCTTGAAGCTGCTGCTGTAGGGAAAGATTCCCTGCAACTGCTGCAGAGAACCGGTACTCCATCCCTGACGCCGTTGCAGAGTTCAAGCTTAAGCTCCAAATGTGGAACGAGCATCGTTTAAGCGATCCCATCCCCAGCGGCGTGGCCTGGGCCCCACTGGCCGATTGAACCCCCCCGATGGGGATATAGGACGTTCCATTCGGGTTTCGAGGGGTGTATCCCCAACTGGGGTGGTAATTTGGTGGGGGTCTCGAAGGGGATGGGGATGGAGATTGGGATTGGTTAAACGATACCGAAAGTCCGCTGCAAAAGTCAAGATAAAACTCCACATGTGGACATGAAGCCTCAGGTGAAGCGCCCGGCCTACCAACACCCCCGGGGGCGCGACAGGGAGGAGTTATGTGGGAGAGGGATCGAGGAGGAAAGGAGAGGAGGAGGAGAGGAAAAGGGGGCCATTTATAAGGAGGAGGAAGGAGAGGAAAGGGATTGAGGAGGAGAAGAGAGGAGAGGGAGGAGGAGGAGGAGGAGGAGAAGGAGGAGGAGGAGGAGGAGGACGAGGAGGAGCACAAGAGGAAAAGGGGATTGGTTATGAGGAAGAGAGAGGAGAAAAAAAGGGATTGAGGAGGAGAGGAAAGGAGGAGGATAGGAAAGGAGGAGGATAGTTATGTTTGAGGAACAGGGGCTCTTCTATATGAAGGAGGGACCCAGGAGGAGAGGAGAGGAGGAGGAGAGGAACAAGGGATTGGTTATATAGGACGAGGGAGGAGAGGAAAGAAAATTGAGGAGGAGAGGATGGGAGCAGGAGAGTTGTGAGAAACAGGGGAAAACTGGGGAGGAGGGGAGACGAGGGAGGCTCGGGGCCGCCAGCGCCGCTGGCCAGCCCAGGGATGTGTTATCACCGCGGCTGGAGAAACGGCAACACGGGACGACGGCGACCCCCCGTCGGATCTCGACGGGGCCAGGCCCAGATGAGCGAACGCGCGGCGCGTTCGGCGACGGAGCAGACTCGAGGAGCAAGAAAGGGTGAGAGGCGCGGCCTGTGGATCGAGGATCGGAGGAGCTCGACGGCCCAGCGGAAGTTCAGGACGGGCAAGCGTCACTGCCAGCTCACGGTGCAGGGCCCGAAGGGCACAGCATCGGAACCCCCCTGGAACCGCTGAGTGAGCAGGAAGAGGAGGTGGAGAGGTGGAGGAAGGATGAGGAGGATTGAATAGGAGGGAGAGCTGGAGAAGGAGAACGAGGAGGAGGAGGAGGAGGAGGAGGGACTGGAGGAGTAGGAGAAGGGCAGGAGGAGAGAGGAGCTCAGCGTCCTCCTGCTGATCGAGGCTCATGCCCCGGGTCTGCGCGATGCGTTCCGCCATGCCCCTGATCTCCGCGTTGGTGGGCCGCGTGTCGCGGGCG